ACTTTCTTTCCCTCTCTCCATCTCTCTCTTTTTCTTCTTTCTTTCCTTTGAGAGGGATAAATCATATGGTACTTCAAACATCCTTGCACATGCACCTTTGTGCACCTGTTGATGTATATTTACAATAAATACTTTGTAAATAATGTGTAGAAGTTGTTTCTATAGTGGGATTGCTGTATCAAAGGGGACGTGTGATTTTAACTTTGACAGATATTGCCAAATTGTTCTCTCAGAAAATGGGCACTGTTCACACTCCTGCTAATCTACAAGAGGGTGCGGTGTAATAAAAAATACGTATGTTTGGTATTTGTCCCAGTTCCTGGTACAGAGCTCCCAAAGCCCATGGAATTTCCTGAATGATATGAGTATATTTTGTTACTCATCATGAGCCCCTTTCCATGTATTTGAGTTTATGCTAATGGGGTGACTCAAAGTAGTGTCTCAGATAGTTCAGGAGGAGGTCTAGTTACCGTAAAGACCAAGCATCTGATTAGAGGGCTAAGACTTTCAGCCTCATACCTGACCTCCAAGGAGGGGAAGGGGGCTGGAAATTGAGATTAGGCACCAGTGGCCAGTGGTTAATTGTACCTACATACCTACATAATGAAACCTTAGTAAAATCCTTAAAAGAGGGCTTGGGGAGCTTCTAGGTTGACGAATGCATTGATGTGCTGGGAAAGCGGCATGCCCAAGGGGAGCACAAAGCTCCCGGCACTCCCCAACCTTCCTATGCATCTCTTCCTCTAGGCTGTTTGTGAGTTGTATCCTTTATAATAAATTGGTAATAGCAAGCACTTCCTTGAGTTCCATGTGTTTTTCTAGTGAGCTTGAAGAGGGAATCATGGGAACCCTCTTATAGTCAGCAGGGCAGGAGTGTGGGTAACCTGTGTACCCCACTTGCAGCTGAAGTGAGGGCAGTCTGGTGGGACTGATTCTTTACCCTGTGAGCTCTGCGCTAACTCTGGGAGTTAGTATCAGAACTGAATTGCATTATTGCACACTCATTTTGTGTTGGGCAGTTGAATTGATATGGAAAAATGACAATATTTGGTATTGGAAAAAATCTATACATCTGATGTCAGAAGGGCTTTCAGAAAACTCCACATCAAGTGCCTCAGATTTTCTTACTCTCACCAACTTAGGGAATCAGACATTCTGAAATGCTTATATCTTATTATTAGATTTTCCCATCACATTGAACATCTTTGCACTGTTTATTGGGCACATTTATTGTTTTAGGACAATGTTGTTACTAGTGACTGCAGATCAAGGCAAATACCCCTTAATTTTTCTCTTTTTTCAAAAGCTGCTTTTCCATATTTTCTTTATAATCAATTCATCTGGTTTCCCTCCACCTCTGATTTTATAGGAATGTTTATTGAGATTGCATTGAGTATAGAAATTTCTAATAGAAATATTGCCAAAATGCCAATTCCCCCCAAAAGAATGGCCAACTTGTATGGCTTACCATTTACTCAGTATTTTACATGGGCTTCAGTAAATATATTTTTTTCTTCTCTCTGTCACATTGGAGGGATGAGAGTGAACTAATATTGAGATTCTATATTTTTTTCTTTCTTTTTTTTAGATGATGGAGTCTTGCTCTGTCGCTCAGGCTGTAGTGCAGTGGTGTGATCTCGGCTCACTGCAACCTCCACCTCCTGAGCTCAAGCAGTTCTCCTGCCTCAGCCTCCCAAGTAGCTGGGATTACAGGCATGTACCACCACACCAGGCTAATTTTTGTATTTTTAGTGGAGACAGGATTTCACCATGTTGGTGAGGCTGGTCTCGAACACCTAACCTCAGGTGATCCACCCGCCTCGGCCTCCCAAAGTGCTGGGGTTACAGGTGTGAGCTACTGTGCCTGGCTCTATTTTTTCTTTATATGAGTAGAACTGTTTTATTTTAAAATGATTTTTAAAAATGTTTTTTTTTCTTTTAGTTGTAGTTCACCATTGACTTTACCAGCAGATTTGAAGAGTATCTTGGAGAAACAGTTTTCTAAATCTTCCAGAGCTGCACACCAGGTAATGGAGAAGCTTTTCCAACGGAAAAAGCAAAACTCTTTGAACAAAACATTGTTCACATGAATAAAGTTCTAATCATGTACATCTCTTAAGATTTTTAAAATATAATTATTGTATTATATTGTAGTTTGTAGAGGTGGGGTCTCACTATGTTGTCCAGGTTGGTTTCAAACTCCTGGCCTCAAGCAGTCCTCCTAAAGTGTTGGGATTACAGGCATGAGCTATCGCACCCAGCTGTTATAGACATATAATTTAATATATGTGACTGCTAAGAATCCAATCTATCACTAATTTAAATATTAACTTGATAATTATATTAGCTAGAAGTTTAACTAATGATTAACACTGTGGAGTTATTTGCTTCTCAAAGAGTTAACACTAATATTAACTTTATTTTAAAAATATTTAAACACAGTTTCATTATACTTACTCTAAAGT